AAAAAATTCTATAATTTAATATTGTAATATTTACTACAAATATTTTATTTAAGATTGCCCATGCTATAAAACGGTATATTCGATTGGGCTATAGTATAAATGAAGATGAAGATATCGAAAAAGCAATAAAAAATATTCGAGAAACAACTGTAGCAAATATTAAATCGGATCGAAAAAATATCAATAAGAATAAATCTAAACTTCCTAAGATCTCTAATTGGTATCAGTTTAAATATCCAGTAGAAGGTGAATTTGCAAGTTTTTTGTGTGCTCGACCTCTTCCACATTTTGGTGAATAAAAAAATATATCTCTGACAGAAATCTGTAAATCAATGAAAGAAAAAAACCTGAATCAACCAAATCCTGAAGTTTCTACTTATACAAATTCTAATTCCTAATAGGTAATACCAACACTATTATCAGGTAAGTTACTATATTCTACTACGAATAAGTAATCGAAATTATTAGGATCTAATAATTATATTCAGAAATTTTAATCAAAACAAATTGAAAAATACTAAAATTTTCTGGATACAATTACTAGATTCTAATAATTTAGGCTGCAAAATTTTATAAAAAAATGCTTATTCATGGTATACAATTATAAAATCATAAATTTTATAATTCATTATTACTTTTATTTTTAGGTCCTGATCTTAGCCGACTAACGAAAGATGCGATCAAAAAAGAATTGAACAAAAGAGGTATAGAATATGATGAAGAACAGGATAAGTCAGAGCTAGTCATTATATTAAAGACAAATATACAATCCAAAATCTTAGATATAATTGAAGGTACTGTATTGATATAATTATAAACTTATATCTGTTCTAATATTATTTTCATACCATAGCAACACGGCAAGTAGCCAGCACAAATAATTTCGTAGAAGAAAAGATAATTATGAGTTCTAAAATGCAAGAGAATAAAAAAAAACAAGTCTTATCTTTAGACAAAGAAAACCAACCAGAAATCAGATATTGATTGGATATTGTTAGAATTCGAGAAATAATTTTCTTATTCTAAAAATTGTATAGATCTGAATATTTTCGTATAGAGTAGGTATTGAAAGAAATGCAAGAATTTGGAAAATGGGGAGGATGTAAATATATGACAGCTCATATAACAGAATTATTAAAAAGCTTTTTTCATGCTGGTGATATTGACAAAAGCGAACGGTATAGTGCAAAAGACATGCTTGATGCATTAGAAAAAAGGGCGGAAACGGGAGAATTAGAAAATAGTGAGATACTAAAGCTTAAGACTATCGAAAATTGGATTGGACGTTATGCACAGCAGTATAAAAAGGAGTTAGCTGAAAAAGCACAAACTTTGATATAAATCTTAGAATATTAATTTTGGGCTTTATTCAAATATAATAAAGCTTTAAGCATAGTAAATTAAATTTTGTATAACTTTCTTCATTTTATATATAAAAGCACTAGCGCTAGCTTTACAAATTCATTATTTGGATATGTGATTCTTCGATTACCGAAAACTTTGTAACTTTGAGCATGTGATATATAATTTCTGTAATCAAATTACAACTGAAACTTGCACAAGATTACATAAAATTACGCAAAATTACAGTAATTTTACAACGATACCTACTATTAAGGTTGTATTACGAAAGTTATACAATATATGTAAGCTTCAGAATTGTATATGAAGTCTCAGTATTATTGCCGAATTGCAATTTCTTAACTCTGAAATTTTGATCTTAAGAACTATATCATATATTCAAATTGTAAATTATACGAAAACTAATTTATCGAAACTTATCAATCTGTAATTTCAATTTACAATTCAACGCATCAAATCGAATAGCCAACTATCAATTGGATAAAACACAATTCTATACTAAATTGACTTTATTTTTAGAAGCAGCATTCATAATTATTATATATTGCCACAATCGATTAGAGTTTATGCAATATACATAATTTGGCTCTAATGTAGATTGGTATTCACTTATTAAGATGAAGTATTTACATAAAAATGAATTCAATGATAAACAAGTCGATTTATTTTTTGCATCTTAGTTTTTATAGATAACTACATATATCATTCATAGTATTCTAACAGATTCTATCCAAAATCTTGAAATCCAAAATCCCGACAGTACATAATTCTGATATACATAATTCTGACTAAGACATAATACTGACAGGTCAAAATCCCGACTAACACAGAATCCCAACAGTTTAAAATCCTGATATTCAAATCCAGAACGGTCAAAATCCTGAAAGTATATAATCTGATTATGTATTGTTGAGATTTTAACTATTCAGGATTTTGAATATCAGGATTTTAAACTGTCAAGATTATGTCTTAGTCGGAATTTTGACTTGTCAATATTCTGTCTTAGTCGGAATTATGTATGTTGGGATTTTGGATTTCAGAATTTTGGGGTAGAACCATTCTAACATCGACATGTTTTATTTGCGCTTTCACATCTACTTTTAGCATATCATAAAACACTATCCTCTTGCTTTATATCACTAACTGATATCCTAACCCAAATGTTTACCACTAATATAATAAAGAAAAAATCAAGATAGTATAAATCGTAAGTATATGTAATGGCAAAATGTGAAGTTATATGCAAAAAAAAAAATCATGGCACAATGCCGTATTGCTGATATAGTAAATGGCAAATATTTATACTTACAAGAGCCCGTATAAAGAACCTAACAATAGCCTTAATACTCATATTGGAATATTCACCTTAACTGCAAACTATCTATTTTTTTGACTTTAAAATTGTTAGAATTCTAAGCTGTCAAAATATTATTAGAAAATCAAAATAGCTTATATAGTCAGCTAAGATTTTAATCTAAAATTATGCTTAGAATATTGAAAAAAAAAGTTATTATAGAACTTACATAGATGATCTGATTTGTCTTTTTTTTTGTCTTGAATCGTTCAATTATTTGCTACTTATAATCTAGCACCAGAACAAAAATAACATGCTAGTGGTAAAAGAAACAAGGATTTGTGATTTATAATAAATGATAGTTTACACATAGTAGTTGAATATTTATTATACTTATCAGAATAATTATATATAAAAAACAAAAGCTATAAAACAAAAATTTCTAGTCATATTTAGTTTATATATATACT